AAGGCTTCCCCCCCTGGGGCCCCCCCCCCCCCCCAACAGGTGGCACGGCCCACGCAACTGAGTCAGCACCGGGCACGGGACTTGCTCCGGCCCGCGGGCACCGCCTCCCTCCCCCCCATGGCACTGAGCCTGGAATTCCCCACCCCATGCTGGGAACAGCCAGATCCTGAGGACAGGGTGGGGGCAACCCCCCCACCCCGGGTGTGATAACATGGGGCCGCTACAAAGCTAAACACAGCGGATCAGGAGTGAGAGGCACCAGCGGGGCTGGGGGTGGTGGCAGGCATCTGCAGGTCAGGAGTGAGGGGCACCAGCTGAGCTGGAGGGCAGAGGGCTGTGGGAGTCCCCAGCTGCACCAGGTCCCAGGAGGTGCACCGGGAGAGCAGGAGTGGTGCAGGGTGAAGGGGGAGAGTGACACCCCTGGAGTCAGCCCAGGCTCAGCCCTGGGGCCTTGTATCCCCAGCCAGCCAGCAAGGCCCCCACCTGCCATGGACACGCCATGCACAGCTGACACAATGTCACTGGGTCCTGGAGGGGAGCAAAGCCTAGACACAGGCAGGGACACACCACACCTGCTCTAACCACTCAGCACCACACCCCTCCTACAGCTGGGGGAGGGGAACCCAGGTGTCCAGGTTCCCAGCTCCAGCCACTGGACCCCAGGCCCTCTTTCTCCACAGCAGGAGGAACCCAGGTGTCCGGGCTCCCATGCCCTTATACCTCCACTATACCCCATACTTCCTTCCTCAGGTGGGTAGACAGAACCTAGGCATCAGCGCTCCCAGCTCAAACCACTGGGACCCACACTCCTCCCAGTCCTGGGGGAAAAGAAACCAGGCACCCTGGCTCATCACCCCTGTTCTGACCACTAGGCCTCACTCCCTTCCCTGACCAGGAGAGAACCCAGGCGTCCCATTCCAGGGGATTGGCCAAGGGGCCAGGCCTGGCCAAGGACTGCCAGGGCCACAGCGCCTCCCCCTCCTCCCCAACCCACTGCAAGGTCATGATGCCCAGCAGAGCTCTGCTCTACTTAACCCTCCCAGTGCCGTGGGGGGTGTTCTGCTCCAGGCATGGACTCCCCAGAGGAAGCTGCACTGGGCAGGGGGGAGGGGGGTGACCCAGAATCCCCTGCTCCCAGCAGCGGCACCAGTATCCCACAATGCATTGCTGTAGCCTCCCCCTCCCATGATGACATCACTAATTACCCCCCTGCCCACCACAGGAATCCAGCATGGGGCACACAGCCTTGCTGGAGCAGGGGGGGTGGGGGGGGGTGGACACCTGGGTCCTGTGCCTGGCTCCACGATCCCCTCCAGGCCTCTTACCCAGTGCCCACCCCGCAGGGGAGCACGGCAGGAGATGTGGGTCCCCACCCCGAGAGAAGGCACCAGCCAGTGCCAGGCCTAGGCGCTGCTTCCGCCGGGACCTGGACTTTAGACCCTGCAGGAGCCTGGTGTGGAGATGGAAGCCAGGGGCCCATGGCCCAGCCCTGCCCCTGCCAGGTCCCCCCCAGAGCCAGCTGTACCCAGGCACCCACCACACTGCTGTGGGGGCTCTCAGCTCCCCTCCAGAGCTAGCCATACCTGGGACCCAGCCCCACAGGCCTGGTGGTTCCCAGGCCCCCAGATCCTGCTGCACCTGGGCACCAGCCAACCCCCTGGTGTGTCCCAGAGCCAGCCGCACCCCGGACCCGGCCCCACAGCCCTGCCAGATCCCGGGCCCTGGTGCCCCGGAGACAGCCGCACCGAGGGACGAGCTTTACAGCCCTGCTGGTTGCCCCCAGCCGGGCGGCCTGGGCACGAGGATGGTGGCAGCTCCCAGCACACCCAGCCCCACCTCGTTACTTCCAGGTCAGCGGCTCCATCCCCGCCCGGCCCGGCCCAGCCCCCGCGCAGCGCCCCCATGCGCATTAACCCTTTGCTGCCCGCCACGGCCTGGCCCGCGGGTTACAACTGCGTGATCCCCCGCCCCGCGGCACCCGTGTCCCCCCCCCCCGCCAG